AACAAGCAACCATATGTCAATTGAGCCATCTGAATTGTAGGAGAGCATCTTCTTTGCCTATATTAACCGCCAGGTAAAGTACGTTTGCTTAAACCTCTTTCCTTGAGATTCACATGACACTAGAATTTCTCACAAGCGGGGCCAGAACATACAGACACAGGCATAATACACCCACTTGTTACCCCACGTAACTTCCTTGTGGGTCTGTGGCCTAAAAGTCAAGCAGCCAGGCTAAATCTCAGTAAAATTACAGCACTGGCAGCAGCAAGACTAGACCTACCGGGAGAAACCTACATCATCTAACAAAACTCCTAAAGTCTCATTTGGGAAACGTAAAACAGACTTCAACTTTGACAACAGAGTGCGACCTTTTGAAAGTAGGTTTATTCCTCATGATTGAAAATCAAAATTAGGAGATGCTCAGTTGTCAACCTTCACAACCACCGTATGTCTTGTGGAAAAACTGCAGGTTCTATTAGAAGAATTACTGATACAGGAAACATAATGCCCATATTCAAGAAAAGAATGTAACGATCTTTCCAGAAAACACATCATCTGATAATCACACAAAACCCATTTTTCATGGGTTGTTCTGATCTGGCATGTTCAAGAAGAGTGATTTCCAGCTGGGTCTTAAAAGGTTTCAGGAGCTTCACATATTAAACCAACTGCTGCTGAAACTGCCAGTGCTCGGGTTTTGTTTTCTTCCTCAGATGGGCTAGGAGGTCTTAAACTGGACGCACAACAATCCAGCCCTAAGCAGTGGTTATTTAAAATCCACGTCTTCTCTTTCAGCGAAGGCTCTAAAGTAGCTGGACCTATCTGCTTATTGCTTGCCAAAAGATCAATAGGGCTTTTGGGATGCCTAAAGGAAATTTCCTTGTGCGTAAAGAAAACGCTTGTGGCAGCAGGAAGCACTGCTGCCTGCTCACCAGGCTCAGCAGAAGACACAGCTAATGGTGGAAACACAAAAGGACACTTGGCAGAAGCAATCGATGACAAGCCTAAGAAAAAGGCAGTCTCACGGCGTCATCTGCTATTAGGAGCTGCAATTTCACCACGAGGAATCAAATGCTGCCGACGGTACTCACTTCTGCAAGTTCTGGGCTTCAACGCACGATGCAAGGGGAAAATCAGCCTTTTAAGAGACTACTGATAAGCGGATGTAAAGCCAAACCAGTCTTGGATTACCGACCTATTATGGAAATAGTTATGTCTGCTGTGCACTGGAATATTGTGACATAAATATCAGGCACACAAGATATTTGAATTGCAAACATGAGGTTCCAGTCATTTTATCCCCTTCTTACTTTGCCATTAACAGCGTGATTTACAACCAGATCAAACATCAGACAATGCATGATACCATTAAAATGAAAGTTTAAATATAATTTCTGTGCATTTTAAAATACACTAAGAGAAGTCAGGCCTGATGTTGCAGTCCAAGGAGCTGCACGGGAGCCTAGCCTAGGAGGAACGTTTCTGACACCTGCCTTTCTCAACCCAGGCAAGTTCTCCTCTGGCCTCATTCACCACTTAAAAGTCAGATCCTGGCTCAGAGAAGAGGTGCTCAGCCCTTGGAGTTCAGTGGTGAGTCACAGCAGCAGTTAGATATGCCCAGCACCTCTAATGACTCATGGGTCAGGTGAGAGGAGCAAAATGATGGGGAACAGCAATTCTCATCTGCATGTGTATTTTACACCTTCTTGGTTCATTGTCCTCAGCAAAGAGCAAAGGCAGCCGCAATCAAGTCAACACTTTGGCTTGATGTGGACAACTCCCAGAGGAAGATGTATTTCTCTAGCATACAAAAACAAATATCTGCCTTACAGTGATTCTACAGCAGTAATTACAAATCTCCTCCTAAAGAAGGGAAGCTTGCGACCAAGTCTACAACCTTGTTTGATAAGCATCCAGAAGTGCACTGAAATCTCTTAAGCGGTGCTTCTCAGTCTTGTTGCACACCCTCTAGAAAACAAAGATTCCCTCCGGCTCTGCAATTCTATACTCATTCCTTGGCCAACTTATTTCTCAACCATACCAAAGCACCTCAAGGAAAGACTTCTGTCTGCATAATCTAAACAGTGTTTATTACCGCTATGGAGAGGTGCTACAGAAATATTAGACACCAGCAACACTTTCTCAGGGAAGTAATTTCCTTCCTCCACTCACAACAGTCGCTATGAAAGCCTAGCAGTTTCTCTGTTTATCTTTTTAAAAATCACTCTTTTGGTTGGTGAGTTCGTGTATGTAAATACAGTCATTTCTACACTCATGTTCTGTTCATGCATCCATGAAAAACAAAATCTTAATTCCTTTCAGGTCCACTCATGCAAAAAGGATCTCCTGCTGCTTTATAAATAGAGGTATAAAGGGAGTTCTTCACACCCAAGTCAGCTGCCCAATTTACCTGGAAACAGTTTAAAGCAGCTACCCAGCTTAGATGCTCTGAGCCATCCCATGAAGATCCTGCTCTCTCCACTGACTATAAAGCCACAGTTTTAGACTGACTTATTTGGCAGCAGCTGGCTACAGCATTGCCCCAGTTCCCCAACACAGATCACTCCCAGTCCCACATCTTTGCTGGGTTTGCAGCTTTGCTATTTACCGTGAGGCTGGATTTACCATAAGACTCTGTATCTGCAAGAAAGCCAGAAACCAACTCAGAATATCAGCTGGAGTCCAAGGGCCAACACAGTTGGAGGACTTATTTCTTTAGTCAGATTTGCAGTGCTGGTTCCTGGTGAGGAACAGTATATACCTCCATGGCAGGCTACGGTCGTATTGTACTGGCTGAAACTGCATAGAGTCACATCCTTTTTATCAGATTATCCGGGACCAGAAGCTGCAGTGCGCTGATCAAGACAAAGTATTATGTGAAGAAAATTCAAAATTATGTCAAGAGGAGGATGCCAGATTGATGAGCCCTTCAGTGCTGCACAATTCAGACTGTACAGGTCAGCATCACTACCACTAGAAAGACAGTATTGGACATAGAAACAGAGCTCAAGTTTAGGAAGAAGTAAAGAAATGACTGGACAAAAGGGGAAAAACCGCGTTCACAGTTAGGTGGACCGTAGCCTATACGGATAGATGCTCCACTGGCTTAATCAAAGGTCATGCTCAGAAGGACTTCTGAAAAAGTATCCTGCCTGAAGGTCTTTTTCCCCACTACAGAATCACTGTACAAAATCTAAAAAGTTAAGTAATGATTTGCACAAGGAAGAAAAATTTCAAGGCTACCATAATCCCATTCAAAGTAAGGGGTAAGAGACCAGATCCCAGGTTACCGCTGAACGCAGTGCCCACAATACAAAACAAGTAAAATACTGTCAGTACTCCTCATGTAGCATGGCCTCTGTTGACAGAGGTAGTGACAGACAAGGGCTGAATCCTCATGTACAAAGAGAAATAAATTCAACCTTGAACGTTTATTTCAAGTGCCATTGACCACCTCAAAACAGTACTGCAGTGACCCAGTACAACAGCTAAACACAAACAGCACAAAAAGTAAAAGGTTTGATTCATCTTGAACCCAATTTTCTCACGTCTAGAACATTTAGGAAGTGCAACTTGAATAACTCCCACATACCTCCATTTGCTAAGCATTTAACATGAATTTTATGTTAAAAATATAAATCTTTATTTATCTGCTGGAAAAAACCACACATTGTTAATGCAGGTTTTCTCACATTGCTCGATCTGCGTGCTTGCAAGGCAGTACGCTGACTTCAGAGTCACTTCGTTTTTGCATGCGCTTAAAATTACTTGGTCACACGGTCTGTGTCATAAATAGTTTCCTCGATAATCTGCGGAGCAAAGGATGGGCTACTCAAAAAACAATTTTAGGTCCAATAAAATTAGCTAGACACCTAGCGAAAAAAATATGGAATAATGACATCCTGAACCACCTGACATATGTACAAGCGCAGCACTAAATTGAATAGACAACCTGCAAACATCACCCTTCTTCCCTAGAGCTCTGTCCTTCAGTGCTCACAACCAGGGTGCCAGAGCAAAAGAAAAGCAATTCTCTTCCCAACTTGTTCACTGTTTTATCTTGATAAAATCCACTTGGAAAGAGCAGCACAGCACTTTTTGTCTAGTCTTTTTGATTGACAAGAAAAAAAAAAACCCAAAGAAAACTAGGAGAAGCGTTTGCTGCCCTCCAGAGGAAAACCAAACGAAATTACCGCTTTAAAACACGAAGGTAGACATGAAGCCAGGCAAGGGCCAGTCCTACTCAATTTTAAACCGGCCTTCTTCAGTAGACGACAGTGGTACCAAGGAAAATCCACGGCACTGAACGATGACAAGGTAGCAAACTAAAACTGTCAGCAGGGATGCTCACCTAGTTTTAACAGCTCCAAAGCATCAAATCTCTCATTTTTCTTCTCAGTTTTATACTGCAAAATGCACTGAAAAGTTATGTATTTAATGACCCAAAGCACACATAAATAAATCAGCCTCTGATTTTCAGTTCATCATCTGGAAAATGAGAAGAAGAGCATCTCCCTGTCACACCAAAATACTGCAAGGGTAACTGCGTTTGAGACTGCAAGGGGCTCAGAGCTCCTGCGCACTGACGCTCTTGGGGGTGAGTCATCCCTTATGGGAGCTGACGTCTGGCCTCCCTCCAAGGCAGGATCAGTTCCCCTTCCCAGCTAAAGGAAATAAATCCCATGGCAATGTGATTCGTCACAACTGCAAATCAAGGTGATGAGACATAAAAGATAGAAGTCCAGATGGAATGCCAAGAAATTAGAAGCAGCTTAGCATTTCCTACGTGAGACAACAGATAAACCGTGGTCCTGTCTTCCGCTGGTGCTATGCAGTACACAGAGCAATGCTGCAAGTTGAGCTATAAATATTCTATGCCTAAATATGTATTTGGATAAACATTACCTTTCAAAAAAATTTTTGTCTGCAGTATTTTCTGTTCTTATACCAGTTAAAGAACACTTTTAAACAATTATATTAAGGAAAACCAAGACGCTTACCTGACGGCCTCTGCTACATTATTGGAAGTGTGACCTGATAAGGCATCGTGAAGGTTTCTGATGAAGTAATCTCTGTAGTCTTCAGGAAGGGCCATGAATGTTCCACCCATCACAATAAACTCTACTTTATCCACGCTGTGGCCCAACTGCTTCAGCTGCAAAATTAAAAGTACCAGAGAAAAAATTACCAATCAGGGACTTACCTAAAAGACTTCTCTGAAAACCTCGGTACTCTTACACTGTATTTCCTTCTTTAGTTCTTCTATCTTTTATGAATGACAAATCAGTAATACTTTTGCACGGATTTCTTACAACCTCCCCCAAAAAAGCCCTCAAAAGTTATTTTTCTACTGCAAGAACACCGTACAGGTATCGAGCCCAGTGTAATAGGTTTTCTTGACAAAGTAGAATTATTTGAGCCTTCTAACTCTCCAGTGAAAACCCCCAAAAAATCATTTTGGTAGGAAAGTCACTATTTGAGCACTAAACTCTCCATGTAAGTAATTATCAAGAACTAGCAACTGCCACAGAAGTTCATTACAATTTCACTGTGATAGGATCTCCTATTAGTAATCAGGTAGTGTTCCGAATAGGTAAGATCTTGTAAGAGGTTCAAAAGTTGTCATTTTTCTAATGGAAATGACACTTAGACAATTAAAAGGTCTAAAAATAATTTTTCTATGGGGATCAAGTCAGGCTAATGTAGAATTATAGAATCATGAAAAAGTTGAGGTTGGAAGGGACCTCTGGAGATCACGTAGTCCAGTCTCTCTTCTCAAAGCAGCATCAGTTACAGCAGTTAGTTTGATGCTCTGTCCAAGCAGGCTTTGAGTGTCTCAAAGGATGGAGACTGCCCAACCTCCCTGGGCACTCTGCTCCAGCACTCGGTCACTCTCACAGTTAAAAACTGTTTCCTGATATTCAAATGGAATTTCTCATGTTTCAATTTGTGCCCATTGCATCATGTCCTGTCACTGGGCACCACTGAGAAGAGCCAGGCTCCCTCTTCTTTACAGCCTATCAGGTTATTTACACACATTGGTAGGACTCCCCCAAGCCTTCTCTTCCCCAGCCTAAACAGTCTTGGCTCTCTCAGTGTCTTTTCAGATGTTCCAGTCCCTGTATCATCTTAGTGGCCTTCCGCTAGACTTGCTCCAGGAGGTTCATGTCTGTCTTCTTCTGGGGAGCCCAGGATGGGACACAGCTCTCCAGGTGGAACCTCTGCAGCGCTGAGGCAAGAGGAAGGATCTCCTCCCTCGACATGTTGGTAACACTCATCCTAATAAGCCCAGGAGGCTGCTGGTCTTCTTTGCCTCCAGGGCACAATGCCGCTCATGGTCAACTCGGTGTCCACCAGTATCCCCAGGTCCTTTTCTGTCAAGTTGCTTTGCAGATGGTCAGCACCCAGCACCTACTGGTGCCTGGGGTTGTTCCTCCCCAGAGGCAGGACTTGGCATTTCCCTTTGTTCAATGTCAAGAGATTCCTGACAGTCCATTTCTCCAGCCTGTCCAGGTCTCTCTGAATGGCAGCACAATCCCCTGGTCTATCATCCACTCCTGCCAATTCTGCATCATCTACAAACTTGCTGAGAGCGTGCTCTGTCCCAACACCCAGGCCATTAACACAGAGGTTAAACAGTACTGGCCCCAATATTGACAGTTGGGTTGTATCACTAGAGACTGGCCTCCAGCTGGACTTAGCGCAGCTGATCACAACCTCCTCAGCCCGTCACTTCAGGCAATTAAAAGCATTCTCATTATTTTCATCACAACCACAATGCATTCTCCTCTCACTGTAAAAATTTACCTGTTCCACTCTGTGTCTTGTCTGGAGATAGGGGTCATATCTAGCCCGAATGGCCCTCATGGACGTAGGCTAAAAAAAACCCAAGGAGATTCATTTTGTAAACTTTGGATTTTTAAAGAACACATTGCAAAAGAACAAAAGACAACTTTTAGCATTGAAATGGATGCTGACGTCTTCAAATCCTAATTGACCCTAAAGTCTTCAAACTCATAACCAAAGAGTTCATCCAATTGTAAACACGAATTTGACTCCTTAAATTTTTTAAAATTATAACTAAACACATTTTCATCCTGAGATGGTAACATGACATAAAAAGAATGACACCATTTTTCAAAGTTTTAGTGCATTACAACAGGATAAAGAATCTCTGTAGTGAGTCACAACAAATATTGCAAAAACCACAAACAAAATGTTTTTCAAAATACCGCTTTTTCTGTCCCGTTCATTTTAGTTTCTCCTCACTTGCACAACAGTTATCCAAGCAGCGTCCTCTAGAGCTCAGTCTAAACTTCAAATATTCTTTAAGCTAAACATATTCTTTCAACTGAAATCCCTAACAACTTCCTTTTTGTATTACTAGCTGATGTAAGCGTACTAATAATACTCTGATATGGCTTTCAAGTATCTTGTGTATCCTGGATTCATTTGGTATTTCATATCTGTTATATTAAAAGCTCTAAAGGATGAGGACTCTTAATCATGCATAACTCCCACACGCTGTTAGTACTAAACAAACGAATCCAACATATCCAAAGCAACATGAATTATAAAGCAGCTACATATACACAAGATTTTCCTGCTTTGCACTAACAGAGCAAGTTTCAGGTCACTGAGAAGTGGGTAACAGACAAAATCCATACTAAAAGGATGCTGCATCACTGTTTACCAAATTAAACCAGTTTGTATTTTACCTCATTTTGCTACTTTACATCTGTACTAAGGCTATGAGTTGTTTTGTTAAAATCAGTCACAATAATTTAGTCACAACAAGCTCTTCTGCTGCTAAACTCCCTCCAAACAACAGGAGAGCACTATTTTGGAAACATAAATATTTAGTGAGATATCACTGCAGATTCAGGGACACAAAAGGGCATGAATGTAATTTCATAGGCACTAACAGCTAAATAATGGGCTTTTTTCCAGAGCTTAACCTTTGTTAATCCGCAGGGTCCTGTAGGTGGGACAAGACTGAAATCAGGTCCAGTTAGGACAGGATGCTCAAGGCTGTGTCCAGTCAGTGTTTGACTATCTCTAATAGAGATCCCCAAACCTCTCTAGACCCTTTCTCGAGTGTTTGACGACTCTCATGTTAAAACATTCTTTTCTTCTATTACGGCACAATTTTCCACATTCTAACTCATGTTTGTTGCCTCTCATCTTTCCACTGGGCAGCTCTGGGGAGCCTGGCACTGCTGTCTCTGTACTTTTCCCTTAAACCCATATTGAGCCACAAGTAAAACCGTATGTTTCTGTTGGACTGTTAGTTAGGAAAATCTTGACACAGACTGATAACTCCTGTAGGAATCGCAGCTAGCATTCAACAAACCACATGCAGCAGTGTCCCATGGGAGAAAGCAATGTCACCTTCAACTGCTCTTACTCACTCATCGCTTTCCACAGCTGGAGATTCTGGTTAACAGCTGTTCCCACACCAGCAAGCCACGGGGTACAGCCATGATGCTGCACTTGCCCTGCTCAGAATCACAGGCTGCTCACTCCTGCTCTACAGCGTATTGCATATGTAACGGTGTAAAGAGCAGCACGGTGAGGAGAAAGAAACAACTGCTACAATAATTGAGAAGAATTTCCAGTTCTATAGTTGAGCTGCTTTACATCTCAAAGTTTATGAACTCTTGCTTTCGTGTTTTATTCTTGCAACACGAGAGAATTTGTAGAAATGAAGAGCAGTCTAACCCAAGTTTACAGAGAGAGCAGGCAATGCATTATGGCAGACTGAAGTAATACCTCATATCCAGTGTAAGACTGTGTTGAATATTCAAAATCAGAATCAGGTCCACCTGGGCAGTATCTGCAAATATAAGAAGACAGAAAACAGGCATCAGACTCACACAATTGCAATGACTCCATCTGTCTGAGCCACGAGTACACAAGAGGGTGCAGGCTGAGCAGACGCTGCTCTAACACCTCTCATCAGAAACACAGGGGAATACAAATTGGAGACAGCCTGACCACAGCAACATGCCAACTGCTCTCCTGGTATTTGAGAGCTCTCATATAGGTAAAAACAAATCCACCAAAGGAAAGCCTTATTAGCTCAAGCACTGTGGTACCTTAATGCTGCAATACAGCTTCCAGACTAAAGCCAGCTCACAACTGGTCAGCTCAGAGCATGGGATGAATGAATGAATGAAAGAATGCATTCCTGTGTTTCTGCATCACCCGATGTAAATATAGGCACAGACCCAAACATGGATGCTGGAGAGAGTTACTCTGTGATATCCAGTAACACTGAGAGGAACCAAGCCTATTTATGTTTACAAATACTAAGTATACAGTGCAAAACAGTTGTTTCGTTTAATTTTAATGAGAACAGGAAGTCAAAACACAGTTCAGACCTGTCAAATGACTACATCCACATAAAACAGCGTGAGAAGACTTACTAGAAGCAAAATGTACTGAGAAAATATTTCTGGAACATGGCATTATTTCAGGGAGTTGCCATATCATTCTGGAGTAATAGGTACATACAGATTATTAGATTTTAAAAAGTAATTTTACAGTCAAACAATTCAAATATTTTCCACCATTCTATCAAGAACACAGTCTCATTTGATGGAAAATCCGATTTTTGTTTGGCATGGAAAGACATAAAATAGAGATATCATCCTGTTACACGAACTACACTTCTTTTCCAGAAATTTATAGAATTTAAATATCTTCATGGTGAGAAAGCTCATTGATATTTGTCTTCTGAACTTAGGAATGTGCTAATTAACGAATACAGCATTCTAAGACTACTTACAAAAAGAATACAGTTCATCTACTCTGCATAACTGCATGGCAGTTTGGTATTAAATTAGTTTCTGCATCTAGAGGCTTGTTTGAAACTCTTATTCTGTGACACAGCAAGACAGACTCGCAGCTATCACAGCACGACTGCGAGCCAGGAGAGGAATGGTACACGGCAGATAGTAATTAAAAGGAACACAAATTTATTCTGAAGGGTCCTTAGCTTTCTTTTGAGGGCTGTGGGATTAATGACCAATCTACAGCCACTCTGTGCTCAAAGATGACCCGAGTCAGGAGGGCTGACAAGCCCTTCTACTTCAGCTGCAGGCGCTGAGCACCTCCAACAGAATAGGTAATAGAGCAGCCAGCATACTGTTACTTACGGTGCAGATCTCAAATGCACAGACACCAAGATAATGCCATCTCTATCAAATCAGACACATTTGGTTCACAGTATAATTGATTAGGTTCCTCACTGCCTGCCCTGCAAACTCAACCCGAGTCATCTGTCACCATTATAAAATTAATTACCAAATTACCATGGCCAAATTAATTTGCTGGCAAAAGTTGTGCAATCCAATTGAGGACATTTCATATACATAATTACCTGGAACATCTCAAACAGAATAGCTGCTCATGCAAAAACAAGAACGGAGCCAGCTCACTCTGTGTTAGGCAGCTGGTAGTGAAATACACTGGTGTTCTGGGAGTGACAAGGTGGGAAAGAGAAGTAATGCTTTTAAATAGATGAACAGGTATGATTAGAAAAAAAAAAAAAACCCAGACGAGATTTTGGGTGCTCAGACTCTTAAGTCAAACAGAAGCAACATACTTCAAGGTAAACCCAGCTTGGGTTTCTCAATTCAAACAAAACTCAGAAGCTACCTCCCTTAATGCCACGAGCTCTTGGCAGCTGGAGGCCTTCCCTTCCATCTGTGCTCTCCTTTCACTCCCGAGCCATTCAGAGCCAGACTGTCACACCAAGCAAGTTTTTGCAGACAACACCTGCACCTCCTCAGGTAGGTCTCAGTTCAGCAGTTTTCATACTTTTCAGTGAGTCCTGTTTCTTTTCTGCAGTAGTCTTCTCCAATCTACTTACGTGCCCAGTCACATGCACAACACACCTGCACACCCTGACACAGTAACACACCTTACATTTGATCATTAATATATTCTCCTGGTTACTATATTCACAAAACTGTGTATCTACTAAGGTAAGCAGGGTTTGGCCCATGAAAGAAAAGGGTTTCCTCTGTGAAGGAAAACTGAAAGCAAGTAGATTTTTTAGCATAACATGCAGATATCAGCAATCTGCAACTTTGTGCTTGTGCAGAAAGGAAGCCTGTCCTCAACACAATGCTAGTGCAATACCAGATTTATACAGAAATACTGGAAAACTGTCCTCTTAGGTCATCTAAGCTGTCATACTTACACACATATGTTGCCTGTAAAGTTAATGTGTGGACACCTGTGTGGTTTACACATCACAGCCACGACAGCAATCTGCAAGAAGCAAAGTTACAGAGGAGAGAAATTATAGTAATTGCTTCTGAAGTTACTAAAATAAAGTGCATCTTGGAAGGCTATATATACATGCGCATCTGTGAGACACTATTTAAAGATGTTTTCTGCTTAGTCTGCCACCTAGAATATCTGTGTGTTAACTCTTGAAGGGCACCCAAATCGGAATACCTAATTTCCAGTTTTCAGAAATCCTGGCTGGAGTAAGAGTTTAATGAAATATTCTATAGACAGAAAGAAGAAATTAAAAGAAATTAAGTGGGTTTTTGGGTGTTGGGTTTTTTTTAAAGTTATAAAAATTGAACACTTCCTGGATTTTGTTTTCTAGGGTTTTTTTGGTTGGTTGGTTTTTTGGTTTGGTTTTTTTGTTAACTTGACTTTAGGCATGCTATACATACAGTGGGGAAGCTTAAAAACACACAGCTGAATGTTAGCTGTACCTCTATTACCATTTTCTGCCTGAATTACCTTCCAAAGAAACAAGTTAAATACTGACACTGTACCTTCACTCGCTGAGAGGGCCTGCAGACTAAGCTGCACTGTTTCTACAGCAACTGAAAAGCAACACATGCTGCTCTGAAACAAAATGTCCACACCTCCTCTTTCTCTTCTCCCAAACGTTTTGAAAGCAATAGCCCTGTGGGCACAACATCACTGAAAAGGCAACCTAGAAGCTGGCAATGCAGCCAGCGCATCTATATTAAAAGCTTCTGGACATTCAATATCCTGGTCTTTGAAAACAATTAAATACAATTTATTGATGAGAGCAGGGGAGGATGGTGGTGGATGGAGAGAATGATGTACGTGCTTACCCCGCTAGCAGTCCTTATAGGCTTGGCCTTCAGCTTTGGTACCAGCACCTTGCGGTACTGTGGTGGAACAGCAGCGATGATGTCAACCAAACGAGGCTGTGCTGACAGCCCATACTTCGCTGAGGTCTTGGTTTTCAGCCTGAAAGCAGAAATACCTCAAATTAACACCTCCATTCTGACTTCCGTACCCATATTCCACAGCACTGCTGTTGTATTACTGTTTGGTTACATGGAGATCCAGGTAGGTTCTCCCGATTTGCCTTTTCAGGTAATTTATTTAAAAAGCATACCGTAATTCCTTGCAGCAGCTGCACTGTGTATTAAGATACCGAAAATAAACTCCAAAGAAAGCTGATATGCAACTAAAACTGCCAATGTTTTTAGTTTCTGTGTATTTTTCTTCTAAATACGGCTTTATCAAAACATTGCAAAAGCTGCCAACAGACTCTGGCTTACCCCTTTTCAATTATTTAATTCTTTCCATGTCTTTCATGTGATTAACCCCTACACACGTAGACTCTAGCTGAGCTCATTTCTAAGACATTCATGTCAGTTATTGCCAGCATCAGCCAAAAGTCTGCAATAATATCATGTAAATGAAATGGAAACAGTGGGATAAATTCAGCTTTTATTATTCCACATATGTAAAGAAGGAAGAATTTTCTGTAAACAACAACCTAATTTATAACACATTGCTAAGAAAATCTGATTTAAACTTTATCCTTAACATTAATCTCTCCTTTCCCTGACGGAACTGACTTTGGGACTACTGAAGGATGAACACAGGTGGAAACACAAAAAGGCAATGACAAGATTCTTAGAGTTTTTCAGCAATACAACCCATTCTGTAATCTGGGCATTGCCAACGAAGTAGTAAATCACCACAGAATTTACAAATCTTGGTGTCTTTATTATCAAACAACAGTAAAAGAAATGACAGTAGCCTATGAAAACAAAACATTTTAAATAAAGCCTGAACATAACAGACTGTACAGGACACGTTCATCACTGGTCGACCAGCTCTTCAGTGTCATCCAGAGTGACTTACTTGTTCAGATTCACATCTTTTCCCTGCTCATGAGCTTCGATTAATTGCTTTATGATGTCAGCTATTGTCATCATCATCAGCTCGGCATGGCTGAGGTCTCCTGAAATGGGAACAAAACAACAAACCACGTGTACAGTCAATGCTTTCAAACTGCTTGTGACAACCAAGGCGCACCTGTTCTGTAGGTCATTTTTCGTATTTCCTACAATTGTTGCCTACAGAGGGAATTTTGCCCCTGCGTTATCACTCTTGATTTGCAGCACTCCCCAAACAAATGACAGTCACGGCCTTGTATTGCTGGTTTTCTTTTACTTCTAGGACAAATTCTGCCTTCTTATGTCAGAGCAATCTGCACAACAGCTAAAAATAAAGTCATTGGAAGTTAAAGACAGATAGAGGAATAGCCTGATGTTACCGCTGCACGTGGCAAGGAACAGAACGCGTTCATGAGAAGGACGGTGGGGCAAGTCAAACGAAAAGGCCAGCACTGTGAACTGCCCTCCATCACAGAGAGGGTACGCTGCATCAGGCAGTGCTAGCGGTGCCTTAAAGCTTCTTCACTGCACCTCTCAGACCCACTCCATGCTGCAACGAGGGTTTGCTCTGTATAGACTGTATACATTGCTTACATTTCTTCCATACCTACTTTAGGAGAAGAGGCGCATTGCTGTTAAGAGATCCATCCATGCTTCCTAACAACAACATGCATTTATTTCACCTAAGGCAGCTGTTTATGCCAGCAAGTGTTGGGACAGTGAAATACACATACGAAACTTGTCAGAAAAGCCACTAGCAGGGACATAGCTGGGTGTACAACTGCTCCAACAAGCTTCTGTTTGTGCATTTACACCCACCTGGGAGAAGCACCACAGCAATGCTCCCATCTGTTCTGTCTCTCTGCAGGCAGTTTTGTGGGACAGACCAGGCTGCTGCTAGCGCCGTGCTGCCCTGCATTATCTCTGCTGCCCCATATCCTTCCTCCAGTTTTTTTCAACTCTGCCATGAGGGAAAAGCCCAGCAACACCCGGACTCCCCTGCCCCCAGCACCTCATTCTGCATCTGACGGTCAGGGCACCGGTCAGGAGCATGGCAAACTCCTGAGCACCCATATGGGTGCAAAGAACGCTGCCTCCCAGTGACAGCGCCCAATTCAACAGTGGGGAGAGAAAACAGATGGCTCACAGAGGGGCGCCAAGTCCCTCAACTCTCAAGCAAGGTCAGGGCTGGCCCTTCACCAGCCTCCAAAAGAACATGAACGGGGCACGACAAGGTCTTGCCTCGTTTTCCCACTCCACACACGCACAGCGTTAGGGGAGGTGGTAAAGCACTGCCACCTCACAGGGCCGGAGAAAGCATGAGGAGGAGCTCTGTCCCACAGCTCCCCCGCCATGCTCAAACACAAGGTAAGGTGATGCTTCCTAGC